TGTGAAACTCAATACACTTAGATTTCTTAATTTTTTATTTTATAAGTAACATCTTTGTAGTTTATTTACCCATATGTCTAGTATTTTGTTTTAAATAGAAAACAATGTAATAAAATCTGTTGAAAATAACAATTATACAAAAACATTACAGCTATTTTTATCCTAATTATATTGGAATCCATCTTAAAATATTAAATATTATTTTGTACACACAAAAATGAGGGTTTCGGGTTAAATAAAACATTAAAACCTTTTTACAAATAGTAATCTAAAAGGCGAAAAGTTTTCAAGCAAATTAAAGTAACATTACTTATAAAAAGGATTTAAGGAGCCAAATCATATGAAATTATTAATCTTTATATCCCTAATTTCCGATATTAATTACTTATTAACTTGAATTTCATAACTCAATTCTATTACACAGTTTTGATATTAGAAACTATCTACGAAGAGAATTAAAGTAAATAAAAATTTCACCTACATTTAGTGTGTAAAAATATTCTATAATTTAATATGCGTTCCTTCAATAAATAATATTAAATTATATCTCAGTGATATGAGTGTATTTAAATATAACAAAAATATAACAGTAAATATACGTAGGTCACTCAATAAATTTTGAGATGCTCGAAATTTAAAAATGGAACGCACCCGTGTTATATGTTTCCAAAAAGCAATTTATTTAAAAATAGAACTCTATAAGCCAATTGCTCAATATTAAAAAAAAAACAAAGTTCTATTAATTTTCCTGCAACGCTACCCGAACTTTTTATTTAAAACGATGGATCTTAACCATGAACATTTGCGCGCTGTGATCTATTATGATTTTAAATTTGGTTTTACCTAACAATTAAGTTTACAAGGGTTAAGCATTAGGGGACTCAGCTCCATCACGCGCAACAATTTTTAGGTGGTTTGATGATTTCAAAAGGGGTAAAATTAACCTTAAAGATGACCAAAAAACCGGGGGCCCGCATACAGCAATAACTAAAAATGTATGCTACTGAAATGTTGATGCGAGAAGACCCACGAATCACATATACGGACATCGAAAAGTTTGTAGGCATTAGTTAGGGGAGCATTCATACCATACTACATCAACATCTTGGAGTGACGAAGCTTTGTTGTCGATGCATCCTTCGTTTGCTCTCCGAAAGCGAAAAACGGACTCGTGTCAATTGGTGCCATGAAATGCGTCTACGTTTTGAAATCGGGGCATCTAGGCGTGTTTCAGAAATCGTTACTGGTGACGTGACATGGATCTATCAATATAATCCTGAAAATAAAAGGCAATCATCGGTGTGGGTCTACTCAGAAGGACAGTTACCGACAAAACTGCAAAGACCTCGCAACGTCGGCAAAAAAACGGTGGCTAGTTTTTTTCGCGGAGCGGACATTTGTCGACGTCAATGCTAGAAAATTGTAGGTCAGTTAACTCTGAATGGTATACTACAGTTGCATTACCCAAAGCTTTTCAAGCTGTGCGGGAGAGAAGACATCTACATCTACAGCTACATCACGATAACGTCTCTTCACATACCTCCCTTAAAACAAAAGCAATTATTGAGGAATTTGTTGAAATTCTAAATCACCCACCTACAGCCCTGACTTAGCCCCTTGTGATTTCTTTTTGTTCCCAAGAGTCAAAGAAAAAATAAAAGGCAAGTTTTTTTCAAGCGCCGAAGAAGCCGTGGCTACCCACAAAGAAGCGATTTTTGACATATCAGATCAAGACTGGCAAAAGTGTTTTCAGAGTTGGTTTGGGCGAATGGAACTTTGTATAGAGCATGATAGAGAATATTTTAAAAAGATGTAAAATAAATATTAAGTAGTATACTTTTTGTATTTCTCAAAACTTATTGAATGTCCCACGTAGAAGACTATTCGCGTTGCGGTATTTAAAGCATCTACGAGGCACTTGACTTACAAGCATTGCCATATTTAATTGATGTTATATAATAGTATTACGTATTTTTCTGACTTATACCTATATTTCTTATGTTTATTCTGTTAAATCGTTCAGCTTATTGTTTATTAATTTTCAGACCCATGTAATCTTTCCCTAACAACTTTGTAGTATATCTACTTATATCCCCAGTATTTTGTATTTAAATTGCACTAAAATCTTAAGTCAACTACACAATATATGAGTAATTGTTTTCATAGTCTATTACACTATTAGTTCAAAAACCCAATGTCTTTTTTCAAAAATCGGATATTTCAAGACGAATTAGGAACCTTTTTTCAATCCGGTAAAACTACTAATAAAAAAATTGTACAAGAATCTCTCCTTAATAAATTTGTATTATTTTACAATACAATTTTTAAGAGAATCTTCAATGAATTTATATTATTTAATAGCACATTTTATTTTATATTATCGTTATGCTCATCCTTATTAATAAACTGAATCATTAAATTTTTAATGACTTTTAAGTGGCCACTTAAGAATTCTGCGTGTAGGTATTAATAATGAACAACTGTAAAAAATTTCATGTTACATTACATTAGTATAAAAACTTTATGACTTATATCTAACGTTATGACTTCTATCCTCATGATAAAAATAATTTATAAATTTATGATATTATGATGAATAATTTTTATGTTGAAGTCTTTTAACAAATATAATATGGGCCTTTTTATTTTCCATTTCAATTATCATTCGCTATATTCATACAGATACGTTTTAAAGTACACTGCACTTATCACACGACTTCCAGGCAAAACTTTTTTGCTTTGTTCGTTTATATCACATGAAACTAAAACCTTTTAATTAATATTGAATTACTGTAATACAAACAAATCCTTCTCTGAATGCGTATGTTTGTACGGAATGACTACTTACATCCAGAGAATATAATCACTATGTTTACTTACATCTTTATGCATGACTAGTCTTTTTATTTGTATTTGCATTGGATTTTAGGTACTAAGCTAATAAGATATTATAGCTAAAAATAATACAGCAAAACATTTGATGTCGCCTCTACACGTTGGCCAACACAGTGGCGAATGTAGTGGCGATTATATTGGCTGAGAGTTGTTGACGGCGTCCACACGTTGGAAGGTCGTTCCGTCTACTTCGGTTCGAGCCAATGTGCGGACATATTTATTTTATTTTAGACGACGGCTCCGTGGTGCAGTGGCTTGGCAATGAGTGGCTGTGCCAGGGGTCGCGGGTTTGAATCCCGCACGCAACAAGTATTTGTATATCCTACAAATAATTGTTTCTGGTCTGGATGTGTGTCCTTGTGCAATTTATGTTTGTAAGTTGCCTCCGCGATACAGGAGAAAATCCAAGTGTGGGGGGTAACGTTTTTATAAAATAATTATAAAATAATAGTGATAATATTGGTGTTAGTAGTGATATATGGGGCTGTAAATAGATATACGATATACGATTAGCTTTATTTATTCTTTACATGCATCAGAAACTGGAATAAATACTATTAATTAGAACTTAACTTATTTTAAAGTTAAAGGAGTTATAATCGATTAGTCCATGTTTTAAAATTGGGTTTTGTTTTTAAGTTTAGCAAAACATGTACTTGCTTTTCTGATTAACACTGACTTAATAATAGGTACTAATTATAACTTAGAACATAAATGAAAAACTCATGACAAGGAAAGTGGCACAGGACCATGCTTTGCGGCATTCTTTGGAGGAGGATGTTCAGTAGTGGACTTGTGAAGAGCTGCAATGATGATGATGATTTGAAAACTTGCACGATTAAATTATAAGAAATCGACGCTTTTTTATATAGGATAGGGTGACAAACGAGCACACAGTTCACCTGATGGTAAGTGGTTGCTGCAGCCCATAGACATCTACATCTATCCTCTATTACGAATCAAAATGCAGATGAGTTGTCACCCGTGAGGACTAAGATGAAATGCCTCGTTTCCTTTAAAAAGTGTCTCTGGTTCTCTACACTCACTATACGAACCAAGCATCATTAAGCTACTATTTTACATTGATATTCTGTGAGAGCGTGGTCCTTCCCCGGTCGAACCGACCCATTCGTGCTACAACTATACTTCTAATATAACTGCATGGTTCTACCACGTATAAACGACGTGCTTAATTTTTTTTTCATTTTATATTGTTCTCGTAATAATCTGATTGTAAATAAATGGTCATTATTTTTTTTGTAAATAGCTTATCGATTAAAACAAATGTTTAAAAATAATTAAATCGCACTAATTAAAGTAGTAGGAATGTTTAAAGTTGAAATTGGCACTAAAAGGCTGGTAATTGGGTCATCCACCCTACAAAGCGTGAATATAAAATTTTAATCAGATGCGTGTAATCACTCTGGGAGCTTGTAGCAAACTAAACTCGCGGCCAACGTGTGGACGCGGCGACCAAACTCTGCCAACAAACCTTTTGATCTTTTGTAAAAAACCAACACCACACGGATCTCGCGCCAACTTGCGGGCCATCGTTCCAATACATACCAATGAAGCCCAAACACCCCGTCTACACGTTGGCCAATGCTATTGGCCACTACATTCGCTACTGTGTTGGCCAACGTGTAGAGACGCCGTAAAGTAAAAATATTTTATAACCAACTATACTTTGTCATATATTATATAACTTAAGAAGAACACAAAATATTTTTTAATTTATAAATAATATAGCATATAAAAATAAAACTTTTATGTATAATGATGTTTTCAGAATGAAAATGAAACAAAAATGAAAAACCCTCCTAAAACTAACAAACTACTACACATCGACATACATCGACTTTAACTTAACAACTTAACAACGACTTTAATATAAAGAAAATATTAAAATTTCTATTTGAAATAAGTATGTAATTGTAATACACATACAATATTAACGTAATGGTTACTGTATTATATAACTCTAGCGCACTCTCTTTCCCGATTATGCGCGGTAAAGTTAAATACATAAAATAAGATCTGGAACAGTATATAAATAACTCTAAGAATCTGTAGATAACAAAGGCATACCATGATGTTATTAAACATTAAGAATTTGATGTACCGGATGGTGAGTCCGGAGGTGGAAGTGGTGCATTCTCTTCGTATATCATCACCAATTTGCTGTACTGCCGCTTTTTTCTATGGCCCTAAAATATTTAAAGAAATTGTAAACCATACAAAAATAGACATTAATTAAAAACACACAGTACAGAAGGCAAGTTCAATCACAAAATTGCTCCAAAAACTCCAAAAGCTCACCGCTGGACTGTATTGTGTAGACTGTAACATTACCTTTTACTTTTATACCATTGTGCATGTATATTGGTAGGTATTATATGTTGGGAGGTTGGTAGGTACGACATGTAGGTATGCTGCTTGCACCAAACATTGGATATCAAAAGAACAACGACTCTTTCGGATAGCAATTCGTGGCGCTGCTGTTGAACTTTACATTATACCGCAAAAAACATAAATCGCACCAAAAAAAAATTAATATTCAAAAACTGAAGGTAGCCGGGCTAACAATGACATTGGGACGTCAAACATCTCAGTCCCCCCCCCCCCCCCCAGTGACCATGGTTGCTGTAAAGCACCCGAAACAAAAAGAGTAACGAAAAAAAAGTTTTAAAACCCTCCCCCGGCCTCTCCCGATGCAGAGAAAGTCTGTCTTAATTAAGACACAGTGACAATTGCCACGCTTTGTAGGCGAACTGTCGTTCATAGTACCAGACGTCTTGTCGCTGTTTTCCGTCACGGTTCTGAGTATTCTACGTCAGGCCTTAACGAAGATTAAGATTTTTTGGTATTGAAAATGGCAGTTACCTTTGATGCTCTGGCTATAGACTCTTCACCAGAACTACTTGAACTGGTGATGCCCTCTTCAAGTGTCAATCTTGCTGCGACTCCTTCCAACTGAAGGTCTAAATAAAGCTGACTCAACTGCTCGTTCACCAATGATGGCTGGGAATTAGAAAAAAAAACCATTGCTTTAGGTGTTATTACAATTTATTGGATTCCAGGTATTCTGCTTGAGAATCCGTATTTGTAAGTTATCTACCACTACTGTATTCTGATCTACTGAAGAGCTAGTATTACAGGCTGTCTGAATTACAGGTAATGCGGCATTCTACCTAGGTCCTCAAAATTTGTAATTCTAATTCTTTAAGCTGAACAGATTTTGATAAAACATGTCCACGAACCACCGCCAGACCTACTTTTAAATTAAAAAAAAAAACCGCACTCAATTCGGTTCACCAGTTTAAGAGCTACGGTGCCACAGACAGACAGCGGTCAAAGCTACAACACCACTCTTTTTCGTCGGGGGTTAATTAAAAATATTCAAGCGCAGTTTACAACACTGCATCTTAGCCTATGTCCGAGTTCACTGTTCGGGAGTTTAGGAGAATTTTCAAGTAATGAAGTTGTTATATAAATTAATGTGAACTGGTTGTATGAATCTTATAACAGTTTGAAAATGAATATAATATAGCAAGAACGAGGAACCTTTGCTTAAAATTATAACGCAATTACTTAATTATTATAAGGTAATATTACATTTAAAACAGTGTGTTTATTGGATCGGTATCTTCTTCTAAATTCATTTTCGTCATACAAATCAAATGGGTTTTCGTTATATTCATACCGAACATAGTATTTAGGCATGCGCCGAAAATTGATATCTACTGAAGTTCCCAATCTATCTATATTTTCTAAAGTAGATAGAATTCTCTCAATATTGTCCATTATAATTACAAGCTTGGTTTAAAGAAAATCGAAAAGATTCTCGATTCGAATGTCGAGTCCAAATTACTGAAGCGTAGGTCTAATAGGTAGGATCGGGAGTCCAAGTTCAAAAGCCAGTCGTAACAAAAAGATCAGGAATTTCAAATATATATAAAACTTAAAATGCACAGAATATAATCAATATCAATATAAACCAAAAGCTTCACATTTGAAATTGTGATTTGACAGCGCGTGTGACAGCCAAATCAAACGTTCCGCTTCTTTCTCATATTTTCAAACTAAAATTAGTTAAATGTACTTGTATCTCTCTTTAAACACGCTCTTTTTCTATTTCATGTATTAGTAACATATTTATGAAGTACAATTTGGAATGTTTTTGACCTTTAAATATATATTTTATTTTACTTTGTACAGTAAAATCAATAACATAATGCGCGGAATGAAGCATCCATAAACTTCTTGACAGTCTGAGCCTTAGCATATGCTTAGCTTAATCTCAGCCCGATACAACTATAAATTCGGAATCAAAGATTATGCTAAGCATATACTCAGCTAAGGTTTTCGTAAGCGAAGTCTGAGCAAAGTCAAAGTACGGTTTATAGATCTCAGCATAGAGTACGTTGTTTGACTTAGTAAGTGACGTAGGTAAGTTAAGACTAATTAATGCCTGTTTTGCAGCGCGAACAACGCGTACCAATAAAAAAAGCTAGCTAGCGACAGTCCTGAATCCATCAACATCCTGCATGTTAAACCAGGCCATCACTCCATCTAGAGAGGAGCCGTTGAACGCTTCGTTTACCGGTACAATGCACCAACCTTCCTTCCTCATCAGTTGTAGGTTCGATGAGCTAACTACTGATCCGTTGGTCTATATCAATACTCTGGTTCAGCTGCGAATATCATGGTTGCAGATTCAGACATGCAGAGAAACTCCGAACATAGCCTTTTCTATAGTTCGTGAACGACATTAAACTTTCTCAGATCACCATCAATGAAGGGTAGGTGTCAGTTTCATTTCTTCAGTGGCAACACGCACTGGTCGTACAATCTTGCTTTAAGAATTTGAGGAATAGGGGATGAGATGTTGTTCCGTAGTATTCGACAGTTGCCCAACCGAGTTGGATCCGTTGATCGACTTCTCGACCGATCTATCGAAGTTGAACTTACCTAGTCGGACTGACTGTTTAAACCATAAAATAGAAAGCAACAATGGACTTGTTGCACTTCCCAACAAAACCGTGCCTTGCAATATCTCTGTATATTACGTATTTTTACGTGGTAGAGCCATGCTGCAGTTATATTAGTAGTATAATAGTTTTGCGAAAATAAGTGATATTCATTCTGTAAATACTAGGAGCAGATACAAGCTAGTAGTACCAGTTACTCGACTCCACCGAGTCAGTAATTCATTCTTGGGGCGATGTATACGCTTTTACAACAAAATCCCAGAAAATATACAAAATTTGTAATACACAAAGTTCAAAATGTTATTAAACTAAGTTTGTATTAAAAGGGTTATTATAATATTAAGGAATTTATGGATGATAATAACCCCAGGGAAGGGTGATCGCTACCAAGCTATTTCTAATATGTCTTGTGTTGTTAATTGTAAACATGATTGTAAGCTATTATTGAAAAAAAAAATAGTCCCGCTAGGTTTATTGCTGGTTCTTCCCAGGACAGAGGTTTTTTTTTTGCGAACCAGTGGTAAATTAAAAAAGTAACTTTCAATAAGTATTGTTATAATCTACATTGAATAAAAAATTTTCTGTTTCTGTTTCTGTTTCAGCATAGTTGTAGCACGAATGGGTCGGCTCGACCGGGGAAGGACCACGCTCTCACAGAATACCAGCGTCAAATAGCAGCTTAATGCTACTGTGTTTCGTATGGTGAGTGTAGAGAGCCGGAAACCCTTTTTACTGGAAAAGAAGCATTCCACCTAAGTCCTCACGGGTGACAACGCATCTGCATTTTGATACGTAATCGAGGATAGACGTAGATGTCTATGGGCCGCAGCAACCACTTACCATCAGGTGGACTTTGTGCTCGGTTGTCATCCTATCCTATAAAACAATATATAAAAAACGATTGCTGTCCGTTAGTCTCGCTAAAACTCGAAACCGACTCGAACGATTTTGATCATTGAAGTAATATGTACTTACGTACTAGAACATCTATCTCAAACAAACAATGTACGCTACTCTGTGTTCGCGCGGTTGATTAAGTATCTTATTAACCGATGAAAAGTAATTCCTTGGTTTTTACTGACATTTCTTGAATTATTTGCTCAATATCTAATTACACACGACGGCATATTGTTATCAAGAGATTTTTTTAAATCAACACAACACGTGACAACTCTATAAGCGCCTAGCGAGTGACTGATTAAAGTGCGGTGTATGCACCGCAGTTGAGTGGAACAGAGTAGCTGAATGCAGTGTCGCCTCTAGTACGTAGTACATAATAGCTCAATGATTTTGATGAATTTTTTGTGTGCCTTTTGTGCCTTTGAGTGGGTCCTTGGATGGCTTAGATTTACAATCGGACCTGGTAGGCGGCGCTGTTGTCCAGATCGAAGCCGGGGTGAATCGTTAGTTACTAATATAAATATAAAAAATGTATACCTGCTCAAGGGTTTTTATTTTCTGTTTGTCACCCGACAGTACTTCATCCATGCTCTTTGTAAGAATTTGATATTTATAGATCAGTTCCGAGGTAACACAAACCTTAAACAAATAAGAAATTATAAACGAAATGTTATTTTGAGACAAATTCGTTCAGAACAATAGTTAGAAAAGCCTTTCCACCAGTGGACAGAGGTCTTTTTATTTATAATAAACTAGCTTGCCAGGCAGACGTTGTTCTGCCCTTTTCGACGACCCATTGTCATGTCCTATTAAAAATCCTTAAATTAGAAAAAAAAATTGTGGGTCACTCATGGGCAAAAAAACTATCCTATCTCTCAAGTTGGACCAAACTGAAACTGTGTGCAAATTTGATTAAAATCGGTTAAGTAGTTTAGGAGTCCATCGCGCACAAACAACGTGACACGTAATTTATATATATTAAGATATATAAATAAATATACTAAACATAGGTAGGAATTTGCCAGCTAGTCAGCATTTTGAAGTTTTTGTTTTTATTTTATAGCGTTGATTAGCAAAGAGCTGACGAGAAATGCTAAATCCTCATCAGTGGTCTGAGAATTTTTGTTCAGCGTTTTTTAATAGACTTTCAGTCTACATTCGGTCGCCAAAGTCTCGCCCGTCAATTAACATGATTAGACTGATGTACCGCGTGCAATTGAATTTGGCATTTGGAGAAATTAAGTATATGGGTAATATTAGATCTTTACCTATGAAATTGCCATTTGTTATGAAATAAATTAACGTATTTTTTTCTATATTTTTATTTCTATTAATAAAAGTAATCATTCGTGTCATCCATTAGAATCCACAGTATCTATAGTATTGAATTTCTTTTCCCCAAAAAAGTAATACTAATTCTGGAAAAAGTAGAAGTATGTAGGTTGCAAGGTCTAGTGAGTACGGCGGATGACGGAGAGCTTCCAACCCCAGATCCTGTAACTTGGAGAACGTCTGTTGTGCAGTATAAGGTCGCGCGTTGTCGTGCAGGAGCAGAGCGATTCATCAAAGCTGGTTGGCAACATGCGATCATAGTGTTCAGTTCTTCACAGGACGCATCTGCAGTGAGCACCCCGTTTGGTAAGAAGCTGTGATGAATCACACCGGCGCTAGAGCGCAACAGTGACCATCACTTTTCTAGGGGTAAATTTTTCGTTTACCGCATTGTTTAGGTGCTGAACTAGGATTCAAGAAACTTGATGAGCGCTTGCGATTGTCAAATAGAATCCATTTATCATCGCAGGTAGCAATGTGGTTCAAAATTCCTTCGTTTATGTGGCTGCTGAGCAGTGCAAGGCACGTCTCGACGCGTACTTCGCGCTGGCGATCATTGAGTTCGTGAGGCATCCATTTGTCAAGCTTTTATACCTTACAATTTGACGCAAGTGGACCAATATTGTTTTGATGCTTACTTCGAAATCTAATTCAGCCGTAGGTTGTGTATCATCAGCTTCCACAATCGTCTTTAATTCGTCAAAGTCACCCAGTCTTCGGACGACAACATTTTAGGTCGAAATTTCCAGCACGGAAACGGGCGAACCATTATTGGTTCACCCGCTTCCGTGTTTATAAAGGTGCTGCGTTCGTTTGTGGTATTCGCTCCGTAAACGTAGATGTTGAGTGCCGCCTGTGCCGCGTTTCTGCCACGACGGTACTCATACTACATAATTACTTGAATTCTTAACGTATCCATGATGACGAAAAGGATTCAAATGCGATGACAACATAACGCTAATCAAGAAGCCGATGACTAATTTGAAACGACTAATTATGAAAAAATAATTCCATGTTTTTAAAATATAATTAATTTGAAATTAGAATTCTTAGTCAAACAAAAATTAATTTGATTTGAAATGTCCATTACTGCAGAACGGCAATTTTATAGGTCAAGACCTATTATAAAGTAAAAAATGTGGTTAATAATTCTAAAGAATTTTTTAAAATAAATAACGATAGTAAAGTACATTCACTTCTTGCAGGTCTAGACTAAGAGAAATTTCAATTTCAGCTTCCGATTAAAGGCGGAATGACCATTCCGGATACACCAAATGAAAATAAACGTACTGGCGATTGGGGCAGTACTAAAAGTGCGATTAGTATACTACTAATTCACTTGCTATAGTTCGACCGTTCAGAGAATGCGTTCCTGACACGTCGCGATTGAACTGACGACGTAACTTTGTAATGGCGTTGCAGTTACGATAAAAATATTTTTGCAGGTTGTTTACCGTTTTAACAATTGATGTGCATTAAAACAACATTATTATATCAATAATCAATGAATGTTATAATTTTGTGCCAAACTGAGTGTCAAATAACTTGTTAAACAATATTTTTCTAAATCTATACTGCGCTATTACAAGTACTAGCGCTTTATATTTGTAGTGCTGTGCTAACAATAACAGTATCGTAATCTGTTCTTATACAGTTATACTTTATAAAATAATACGTTTTGTTTTTCTTTTTAAGAATTTGAAAATAATGGACTATAAGATAACTTTTATTAAATATAAAAATAAAACTACGACCAAACCGAACGCACGACAGAAAGTAGCATTTTTATATTTAGGTTGAAAATGGTAACCCCAAATGGCGTTATGGGCCGCCATTTTGTGACGCTAAAACAGTCGTCTGTTGTCGTTTTGTGCGCATAGACCACGTTCTTCAAGTGTTTTCGAGCTGTTTTTATTTGATTACCCGGTTTTCGTTTAATGGACTGTTTCTGCTTTTCAAACTGACATCGGCGCTAAATCGGACTTCGATTGTGTTTTGTATTGCGTTCTTTTTACTTTTGGTACATAATAACGCCTAAACGTGGATAAACATTGAAAAGTGGAGCCCGTGAGTTAATCATCAAGCTGCAAGATTACTTTGAGTGGGAGCGGCAAAATGGTGGACCCCTGTTACCTGTCGAACAAGTACAAGAACGCGTCTCTCAGGCGTTGGAGTTAGCAAACGAACGATAACAAATATGAATACAAAAAAGTTCGGCTCTACTGGCACGGAAGATAATATTTTACGTACTCCGAAGAAGAAACGTAGAACTAAACCCGTGACAGATATTGAGGCCTTTGACGCCGATGCAATCAGAAATCATATATATGGTTACTATTCCAGAAATGAATATCTCAACAAGAAGCTTTTGGCATCGTTAAGAGAAGCTGGACTGTTTAGCGGGGGTAAAACTGCTTTAACCAAAATCTTAAAAGATATTGGTTTTTCGTATAAAAAAACAGACAAAAGAAAAATTTTATTAGAACGATACGACATAATTTTAAAACGGATAAGTTTTTTGAGAGAAGCAAAAAATATTGATAAATGGGATAATGTCGTGTTCATTGACGAGACATGGCTAAACGCCAATCACACGCTTTACCGTTCTTGGACGGATGATACACAAGCGTCGACGTCGAAAGTACCAATGGGTAAGGGGGCCCGTCTGATAATATGCCACGCAGGTTCTGCAAAATACGGCTTTGTGGAGAACGCGTTACTGGCATTTCAATCAAAAACCACAAATGACTACCACGAGGAAATGAATGCCACTACATTTAAAGAGTGGTTCCAGAACGTGCTTTTGCCCAGCCTACCAGAGCCTTCTGTAATATTCATGGATAATGCCTCCATCACTCGGTTCAAATACAGAAACCACCTACCCAAGCTAATAAAAAAGAAGGAATGGTGGCTTGGTTACAAGCAAAAGGCATTGACGCAAATATGCAGATGCTAAAACCAGAGCTAATTAAATTAGTTAAAGAAAATAAAGCGGCAAATGTACGATACGAAATCGATGAACTGGCTCTGGAGTACGGTCATCGCGTTCTAAGAATTCCACCGTATCATTGACAATATAACGCGATTGAGCTAATCTGGGCTCAAATAAAAGGTTACGCCGCCCGCCACAATACTTCCCCGCCATTCAGCACGAAAAATATGATGACCCTATTAAAAGAAGCCTGCGGGGAAGTCACAAGAGATGACTAGGCAAAGGTTGATGAGAAGATTAAAAACCTGATTGTGGAACATTTTAACCGAGATATCAGGATTGATTCTGTTATTGATAATAATATAATTATACATGTAGACGAAGATGATGATGGAGACACCACCTCTTTAAGCGAATCGGAGTCTGATTAATATTCTGTACGCACATTCAATTCAATGTACTTTATTGCATAGAAATACAGATTGTAACTTTGTAACAAAGAATAAATAAAACAATTTTATTATATTAATATTACCTTTCTTTGGTTTCCACATAAATTACTAAAATATAAATTTTAAATGATTCCGCCAATTTAAAAATAACGCGGCGGTTCATTTTGGAGGAACGGTAACGAACTCAGTGTTATGTTGTGCCCATCACTAGTCGTGACTAACTGATAGGTGTCAGGAACGCATTCTCTGAACGACCGAACTATAATATATTTTATTTAAAACAGATTATAAATAATTCTAATTGAAAGGTGAGTATGTACCAGACAATTTTTTTATAGAAGAGGGGGCAAAAGATCATGCGGCTCACCTGATGTTAAGTGACTACCGCCGCCCGTGATCAACCGCAACACCAGGGGAATTTCAGGTGCGTTGCCGGCCCTTTAGAAAGGAGTAAGCTCTTTTCTTGAAGGTAACCAGGTCGTATCGGTCCGGAAAAATCGCCGGTGGTAAACTATTCCACAGAGGTTGTACGCGGAAGAAAACTCCTTTTGAAACGTACAGTGGTGGACCGCCAAGCATCCGCCAAGTGGATGGTATCGGGACGTTTGCCGCGTAGTGCGTTCACGAAATTTGGCGGCTAGGATTAATCCAAAAAATTCCTCAGAGCACTCCCCGTGGTATATGCGAAAGAAAATGCAGAGATGCAACATCTCTTCGCAGCGCCAGTGAATCGAGCCGATCGGAAAGCACTTGGTCGTCGACCTTTCGAGCCGCTCTGCGCTGGATGCGGTCAAGTGGAAGGAGCTAGTACTTGGGAGCCCCAGCCGAGAGATGGGAACAGTATTCCATGTGCGGCCGAACCTGCGCCTTGTAAAGTTGCAGGCGGTGTGCCGGCATGAAATACTGTCCCGCTCCGCTAAGCACGCCAAGCTTTTAGAGGCCAATTTGGCCTCCTCTTCCAAGTGACCACGAAATTGCACGTCACTCGAAATGTCGACGCCGAGGATTCCGATACTGGCTGAGGCAACAAGGGGAATGCCTTGAAACTGAGAAGATACGACAAAGGAGTTCTTTTTAGCGGTTAATGCGCAAACTTGTGTCTTCTGAGAGTTAAACTGGACTAGATTTAGTCGCCCCTATTCCGAGACTCTGTTCAGCAAAGACTCGACTTCAGACACAAGTTTGTCCCGGTACTCGGAGACGTTTTCCCGATAAATATTGGTACGGCCGATGAAAGAGCATCACCAGTGCTGTCATCTGCATAGCAGTGAATATTACTGGTTTGCAACATATCATTGATATGCAGAAGAAACAGCGTTGGCGATAGCATGCAGCCTTGTGGAACACTAGCATTAATAGGCTTGTAATCGCAGCTTGCACCGTCTACAACGACCTTGATGCTCCGATCTGCAAGAAAGCTGGTGATCCAATCGCACAATTTCTCGGGAAGCCCATAGGAAGGGAGCTTCGAAAGAAGCGCTTTGTGCCAAACCCGATCGAAGGCCTTCGCAATGTCCAAACTAACGGCCAATGCCTCCCCCTTGGACTCTACTGCCTGCGCCCATCTGTGAGTTAGGTAGACCAGCTGACCGACCACGGCGAAAATCGTATTGGCGATCACTAATCAGCTGGTGATCCTCAAGGTACCTCATGAGCTGGCAGTTAACAATAGACTCCATTGTTTTGAAGAACAAGGGAGTGATGGCGATAGGCCGGTAGTTGGACGGGTCTGAGCGGCCGCCTTTTTTAGGGATCGGGTGGACGAAAGCCGTCTTCCATGATTATGGGACTACGCCTAGGGAGTAGGAGTACCGGAAAAGACGCGTTAAAACCGGTGCCAACTCTGGAGCACATGTCCTCAGCACAATTGGGGAGATTCCGTCAGGCCCACTCGACTTGTGGATGTCCAGGGAGAGGAGTGCTTTGCGAACCGAGCGCTGTGTGAACTGCACTTCCGGCATGGAGCACAAACACCGCGGGATTGTCGGTGGCGTACTCCCCCCGTCATTGAGAGTCGAGTTGGACGCAAAGAAAGAGCCTAGCAGATCGACTTTCTCCTTTGCGGTATGGGCCAGTGAATCGTCCTCCCTGTGCAGAGATGGAAGAGATGGCTCACAGAAAGACCAGTTCCAGAAGGAAAGCGAACTAGTTTCTCGCCAATTCTGCCTATGTGCTCTGACTTTGCCTTGGCAGTGACTCTTTTGAAGGACCTAGAGGCGGAATTATAATTCTTTTTTAGAACGCTGGTGTTTACATCCCGGGAAGTTGATGCGTCAGCCCAGGCTTGGTAGCACTCCTGCTTATAGCATGATCCTATTTTACAGGAGCGACCAAACCATGGCTGAGATTTGCCTCCAATGGGCACTACAGAGAAAGGAATAAAAAGTTCCATACTCTGAAGTACCACATCAGCGACAGAATCCGCAACAACGTTGGGATCGTCCGGCCAGAAGCAAACCCGCCCCAAGGGTAGGATGCAAAGAAAGACCGCATCCCATACCAATTGGCTGACCTATAGTGTCAAACACGGCGGCAGCCTGCAGAATGCAACTGCGATTTATACATAATACAATATACTCACGTGTTCCATCCACGGCGGTACCATTTTTCTTCTAGGACTGTTTTTTATCTGCTCCGTTTCGAATGCTGGCCAGTTTCCATGTCCGCCATCGATTGCACTCTGAAAGAATTTTTAAATTTATTTTAAAAAACCTGCCCGAGATGCCAAGTATATACGTATATAGGAAAATTATTTTATAAAATAATTATTTATTAATCACTTAGATTTCCAAATTTTTGATGAATGATAACAATGTGGGCATTTACGACTATTTCTGCCACTTGAGCGGCACCACTTAAAAATGAGGTGTAATATTTTATAGATTTCATAGCGGGGAAGTTTATTTGTTCGGAAATTTTAAAGATTAATTTTACTTTCTGTACTGTTAATTATATGTTATATAAATTATATTACAAATAAATAAACCAAACCACAGACATTCATAAAAATAGAAAACTTAAGAAAAGAGTTAAATATGTGCAAAAATTAAAGAGCAAACCACTAATGCATTGTTTTGTGTGTTAATATAATATTCTAGAAAATGATAAACTTCTTAATTAAATGACATTGTGTAATAAAAAAACCACCGCAAATAGCAGCTCTTGTTGCCCTGGTTTCGAAAGGTTAAATAAAACTAGTTTTTACGGATTACATCGTGTATATTAACTTACGAGTATTTTATATTCCCGATATTTTAAGCACTTACACAGTTACAGCATCAATGATCCCGAGGGGGACTGAGGTGTTCGATTTTCCAAAGTCATAATTAACTATGACATTAGAACATCGAATACGTCAGTCCTCCCCCCCCCCCCCGTGACCATGGGGTGCTGTAAATTGCTCAAAACGTGGGGATAAAAAATAAGTTATGGATATAAAAAATGGAATATAAAATAAATATGATCTCTGAATCTTGTCGTGAAGCGACAATTAATAACTAAAGAACCTAACCTAACAACAACGAGACAACAAAAATAGAACAAAAACGAATAATTTATTTAAAATTTTAAAAGATATTTACAGTTTTATATAAAAAAATATGAAGATGATGATGGGTGACGTGAATTACAATTATTTCAAAAAAATGATAAGTCAGTACTGAAACGGACCCCAAGACCAAAGTGGCACACCGCGCTTGGCAGTGGTGCTCACCGCTCACGGAGTATGCACAGGCTATGCCAGTGGTAGGTGCGCAGCGCCTGATCTAGGCAAACGCAGCGTCTGGAGAAGGCACACGCAGCGCTTCGAGTAGGCACACGCAGCGTCCGGAGTAGGGACACGCATCGCCTGGAGTAGGTACACGCATCGCCTGGAGTAGGCACACGCAGCGTCTGGAGTAGGCACCACAGCGCCTTGGTAGATGCTCTCAGCGCCTGAAGTAGGCGCTCGCAGCGCCTGGAGCAAGCACGCACAGCGGCTAAAGATAGCGCGGGCACTAGTAGGTGGAGGCGTAGGCGTGGCTAGGCGACGACTTCAGGTGAAGGCAAAGGCTTGCAGGATAAGGACTTTAGGAGATGCTTCTAGTTTGAAAGCTGTAGCGAGACTGACTTTATTGGCCAATTGTTCGGCCTTTATACTTTTTTTAGAGAGCTCCGCGCTCGACGACGGATCTGAGATAAGAACGGGAAATTATTTAAATTAAAAACAAATTTTTGTAAATGGCCAAGAAGAAAAGAGTATTTTTGTGGAAGTTTTGAAGTAAAAACATCAGACCGGTAACGAATTTGAATAAAAATTGCCATGACAACCAGATAAACAACGATGGCAACAAATTTTGGTTTCAGGCTCGTAATAGAGAAACGGCAAGATTTAAGTGAAAAATGAGATATTATTGATATAAAAAAAAGTAGCGCAACAGCGCGCACGAAGCCCGAAATTGTAGAGTTACGGAGAACTAAATAAAAGATCGAAAAAGGTAAACTCCATCGACACCGATTTAAAAAGTGCTGATAGCGTGAAAATACGAAGTGAAAGTGATTTGTTATTGTGTTCTTATGGTTTAAAAACGTTACAGAATCCTATGGAAATAAAGGAGATGCAAAATATCCAGTTTTGAGGTGAATACAGAAAATCAAAAACAGAATGGAAAAATAAATTTAAAATAGTGTAAAATGATATGTAAATAACATAACACTACAATCTCGACAACAGCTACACCTACCGGGTCATCAAATACACACGGAAAATTCAGTTATATTAGAAGTGTTGCGCGCCGCGAGCGAATTAACTGAACTAAAGTGTTGTATGATTAATTATTAGTGTATTTTGAGTTTTAATTGGTGTCGGTAATTAAAGTGCCAATTTTGGTAATTAAATCGGCAGTTTTTAATGTCACGAACCCTAAGCTCGTAACAAAAAGTATAGTTGTAGCACGAATGGGTCGGCTCGACAGGGGAATGACCACGCTCTCACAGAATACCAGCGTAAAATAGTAGCTTAATACTGCTGTGTTTCGTATAGTGAGTGTAGAGAACCAGACACCCTTTTTACTAGAAACGAGGCATTTCATCTAAGTCCTCACTGACAACGCATCTGCATTTTATTCGTAATCGAGGATAGACGTAGATGTCTATGGGCCACCGCAACCACTTACCATCAGGTGGAATGTGTGTTTGTCACCCTATCTTATAAAAAAAATCAAAATCGGTTTTTGCGAGATTAAGGGATAGAAATTGATTTTTTATAAATAAATGTCTTCAATATTTATTAGCAAACTACAATAAAGGTATACTTCAGGTTAAATAAAAACTCAGTTAAGTCGTTTAACTAACCGTGGAGATTTATTTATTTATTTATTTAATAGAGATATCATAATAAATACATTTAAAATAAAAAATAAACTTTTTTAAGTCGGTGAAAGAATTCTATACGGTTAAAATTTATAACAAAAATTCTGTGCTAACCTTTTTTCCTATTTTTCCAAAATCCTTTTTAGAGTCACTGCTTTCTGCCGAACGGCCAGATTCAGTTTTAAAGAAAGATGAACAAAATGATGAATAACTGGACTCTCTGTCAGTTTTATCCATTTTCTCCTCGCTGTTGCCCCACTGTATTGATTTCGAGCTCTGTTGGATAACGTTATTTTTAAAAATTCTTTTGGAAAATTTATTCATATCATAAATAAAAATCTATAAGATGTTATTATAAAAAATACTCAACACCATTCTGACGTCAGTGATAAGAGACGGCACATCAATCAATAATTAAAACCCTGATTCCGGAGGAATTAAGTATTAAGTATAAATTGTTTTAATACTTTTTGTTTATGAGGTAGGTGAAGATTCCTTTTTTAATTATCTGAGTCTTTTGAGTGGACACAACAATAATGTCAACGTGAAAACTAAGATGTCTATAATAATTACATTAAATATATTATCCCTATTTTCCCAACTTTAGGAGTACATTTTTTATTCACATTTAATGAACCACCATCGAGATATCGTTTTTTTTTTTATATATAGGTATGTATTATTTCTCATTAACACTAATGTTAACTACTAATAGTCTCGGACACACGTCCGTTTTTATAGTCAGACAATAAAAATATTTTGAAGGAAGACCAGTAATAAGGTGTAAATTCACATACCTGATATGAGGCATTCGTTGATGAGTGACTAATTATGCTTCCTTGATCGGCTTTGGATGCTAAAGCTTGAGATTCTGCGCGTTTCCTATCTCTCGATACGTTTGCAGTGTGCGTCTGTTCAGTCTTCAGGTGCGAATCAGGCTTTCCTGTCTGCATATTTATTCTAATGTTACACTTAGTTTTCCTTATATATATATATATATATATATCTGTGGGCACGGCAGTGCCCCCGCCAAGTCGAGCAAAAAAGCGGCACGGCCGTACCATACTTTTCTCGAAGCAATTCAGGCCATTTTCAACCCTCTATAACTTCGTAGAGGATAAAACTAGAAGCCTGAATTTTCAGTTACCGAGTAGACATTGTATAAACATGATATATTTCAAATTTCATTCAATTTGAACCAGTAGTTTAAGAAGTATAACTAGTCAAAGTTTCTTAATTTTGTTACTCACTGACTAACCGATCATCAAAAGTCTAAGGCACTTCTAGCAGACATAGAAGCTTCAAATTCAGAATACAATTAGTGTTTAGTGTATAAATCAAGGAAAAACTAAAATACTTTTAAATTTCGGTCCAGTTTTCTAGATATACCAACTGCACAAATAACTTTGTAACCCTATATAAATATATGGAATTACAAAGTTATATTTGCAGTTAATGAATCAGTGTACTTGTATATGTATAATAGGTGTAGATAGGTACGTTGTTGGCATTCAGGAAGTAGAAGGTACCGGAAAGTAAACCAAGTGTTTTCTTGCGATTGCCAAGTCAATCTTTATATTTAAAACATAAAAGATTTTTAACATTGATATGGTCACTATAAAATGTTAAGTTAGCTAATTACGTAATAATTTAAAACAGAAGGGCCCTTAAGTAGGGACTGAATAAATTAACCGACTTGGTATTACATGGATTTCACTACTTTTTAAGGTAGAAGAACTGAGTTGCGAGACTTGGTTTTTTTACAAGTTATGTTTTTGATGGCATATATATAATCGGAATCTCGGAAACGGCTCCAACGATTTTATACAATTTAGTGTCCAGAGAGTTTCGGGGGCAATAAATCGATCTAGCTAGGATTTATTTTTAGAAAATGTCCCTTTATCCGTGTTTTCAGGCAATAAAAAAACTGCTACAATATAAGAAGGTAAATTTTGACCGGTTACTAACGATCGTAATAGCTCAGATGGGATGTTGTTCGGGCGTGATATCGGTGTTCCGTGGTCCGCGTCCCGTCTTGAGTCCGACTTTTTTTCCTTTCTTTTTTCAAGTTCCCTTCTTTTGTGAGAAAATCTATTATTTCGAGCCCTTTTTTTAGTATTTATAAAAATACGAAAATTTTAATTAATCTAATTGCACTCATGATTTTTTATTCATATTATTCTATTATGTCAATAAGATCAAAAACTATTATTCATGTAAATTGTATATAAATGTAACTTAAAAAAACCAAGCAAAACTCGGTCATCCGGGTACTTTATATAATAACGTGTGTGTGTTCTGTTACAAAAGAAAATGCATTTTTTTTAAATTAAGTAATGTAATATTACTAACATTTATATGTATGTATGTATAAAAATGAAGTTCTAGTCATGGGCAAATACCATACCTGATAATGATGTCGATTTTTTATGTATGATGTGCTTCTAAGGTCTGAAAGATCAGTAAATTTACTTAAATATTTTCTTTTTTTCAACTTTTTAATTATATTGAATTTGGAACGCGTTCATTATTTTTAAAAGTTCTTTCGATTTCACGCCATTTCATATATTTTTTCGTGTTCATTATCAATTTACAATATGGAATGGGGTGTTAAAGAAAATAGGATTGCGGATATTCCAGACACTTCAAAAGCTTGGTATCAGCCGTATGTTCGTATATCGTACTATCATCAGAAGACCATAAAAGGTCGTGACGGCCGCGCGCTGTTAGAACTACAAGGGTTGTTAATGCTGTTAAAGCCAGAATTCGTCGAAATCCCATTAGGAAGCAAAAAGTTTTATCGCGAGAAATAAAGATTCCTGCTAGGACTCTGTCGCGTATTACAAAACAAGACCTGAAGCTCGGCGCTTATTGTCGATATACAGGACATGCCCTAATTCAATCTTTACAATTAAAGTGAGTGGATCGATCAAAACGCCTTCTGTCGCGATACGCAGGTGAAGGGCACAGAAATATCCTCTATACCAATGAAAAATTTTCACGATTGAAGAGCAATACAATAAGCAAAATGAAAAAGTGTACACTCATAGTTCTAAAGAAGCTGCTCAAGTGGTCGGAAAAGTACAACGTGGTCATCATCCTCCACATGCAAGGCGTCACAAAGCTACATTTTTGTGAAAAAGGAGTGAAAACTTCAGCCAAAGTGTATCAAGAAAAAGTCTTGGATCGTGTTGTGAAACCTCGCACTTTTTAAAAATATACCGTGGACTTCCAGCAGGACTCTGTACCTGTATCTGTACAGAGTCCTGCTGGAAAGTCTGTATCTAAAATCGACATCATTATCAGCTATGGTATTTGCCCATGACTAGAACTTAATTTTTATATTATACAAAAATAGACAAACTTAATGAAGAAATTTTACTAAATTTAAATCGATAGTAAGAGTGATATTGTATCAATTGATATATGGCTATAAACAGTCACACTTTCTACCAATAAGAATGAAAATATCAAGCCAATATCTATCTATAAAATAATAACCAGTGAATTAAAACGCAAAACTATAATAATGCATATTGAGACCTTTCGTATACAACAAACAGCGTGAAAGTAAAGCTGGTTAAAAAATAACAAGCATTTATTTTTATAGTAGCCCGCGGAAGCCTGTGCTCTGTTACTTGTTTTTCACAGTAATGAACACTTCTAATAAGCATTTGGTAGTTTACCATTCGGCATTGTTGCTACTTCGATTTTGTAAATAAAATGACGAATATCTTATAAAAGAAATTTTCCACAAGAGTTACTGCGCGATCTTTCATATTTCGGGCAAAACATATTTAATAATTACGCCTAAAGAATCGTGCCTACGCAGAATTACCACTATACCAATAATTTAAATAGGCAGATTAAATGAGCGAAAATACCATTTTAATTACCTACGAATACGCCCTGTACAAGCAAAGAATCACGAAAAGACTGAATACTTACAAATTTTAGTTCCTTATCCTTTTGTAGAAAACGTCAGTTTTCATACGAGGTAGAGCCGTGCTGCAGTTATGGTAATGGTATAGTTGTAGCACGTACGGGTCGGCTCGACCGGGGAAGGACCACGCTCTCACAGAATACTAGCGTAAAATAGTATAGCTGCTGTGTTTCGATGGTGAGTGTAGAGAACCAGAGACCCTTTATGCTGAAGACGAGGCATTCCATCTTAGACGGGTGACAACACATCTGCATTTTGATTCGTAATCGAGGATAGATGTAGATGTCTATGGGCCACAACAACTGCCTTTTTTAACCTGATGGTAAGTGACCATCAGGTGGACTGTGGGCTCGTGTGTCACACTATCCTATAAAAAAAGTTAATTTTTATTGTTCAGTTTTACTTTTGACTTTGATACGATTAATGCATACATATGAGTCAAATCTAACGTGATGTATTTTATAATTAGGGAAAGACATATTATGGCCGATTTACACTTCGAGAAGTACAGTAGCGAGTTAACTTGCGAACCTGGCAAGTTAAGTAGAAAATCTCGTCTGAACGGCAATAAGCGAGTTAAGTAGCAAGTTAACAATTAAGTTGAACGGGATAGCCGGCCGGTCTATTTTTCGGCGAGTTAAGTGCGAAGTGGTCAACACTTAGCACTGATCTCCCGCGCGTCTCCCGCCACTCAGAAATAAACACGCCGCTCGTGTGAACAAGCGGGTTTAGTTCAGTGCATAAGTTGACACGACGCAACGTTTTCGCCATAAAGTTTGTGCGGTGCTGTTTATTGAATTTATACATTTTAATAATGAAATGGACAGAAGATATCACGTATAAACGTACAAGAGTATTTAGAATACGAATGTTTATATAATAGTAGAATTTCAAATTATAAAATTAAACCTGCTCGAGATGCTGCACTCATGAAAATTTGCGAAGTCATGAATATACCTCATTTTGAAGCTAGAGGTACAGGCAAAGAAAAAAAGCATTAGATCGATATACAGCCAGGAGACAAAAAAAAAATTAATGATTCCAGCAAAAGTTGTGCGGGAAAAGATGATTTATATGTACCATCTTTAAAATGGCACAAACTATACCATGACCGTATTAAAGAAAAGGAAGTTACACAAAGTGCCTTACCTCTACAAAATTACTGCTTGCTAAGTCTAGCGAGTTTAAGTTGTTTATATACTGAACGCCGTGCGTCATACATTTTTGCCGTACTGGATAAGTGACTTGGGAATTGATTGGTGAATACATCATTGGCGGTCCGTATACTGCTTGTCCGTACATCATACATTGCACTGAAATAAAAAGATGAACAAGTTTTATTTCATTAAATTATTATAACAACGGATATCGTTATATATACTATGCCAACAGAGAGTCATGTACATCAATGATTAGATTGTGGTAATTAAGTGCAAAAAATTAGCAACACCGACGTTACTTGCAGAGGACATGCCATCTGGTCGTTTCGCTGATCACCACCACTGAGAATGCAAAATCCGGAATCCGTAATGCCGGACGAGGGCTTCGTAAACGAGTAAGGAATGGTGAGACCGCGATACGATCTGCATACGGAGGAAAAAGAAGGTCAAAAAACTACAGTCTGCATTATGACGACTTAAGCGTGCATACAATGAATGAACTCAATATATATAGCCGCAAATAGTCAAAGTCACAGTTACTCACAACATTAAGTTTAGTATCGCATGCAACCAACACCAGTATTGCTCCACCGATACCTTCGGTAAAAACAGGCTAAAGGACTTGATAAGATTTCTTCTCAATTGCATCAATGGAAGAACGAATGAAAGACGCTTCAGGGTTTTAAACGAAATATGCCAGTTGGTCCTCTCCTAGTAGTAAGCCCGCCGGAGGTTTGCTATGTTGCAAGTCATGTTCTGATACGGTGTTAGGTAGATCTTTTTTGGAAGAATGCTTCTGGATAGTTAAGTTAATCATAAAAACCAGTTGCGGTGCTACCGTTGCTTAGTGTTAGATGCCCAGTTAAGGAGCCTAGAGTCTTTAAAACACTAGCTATCGGTAGAGAGTTGGCGCGTTTATAAGGACTCTATCAAGGCCTCTCCGCCACCTTACAAAAAATCCAGGGTTGATTGACCAGTCTCTCTCTCGGATCATCCACGCCACTCAACAAGTTAAAAAGGCGAAAAGTAGAGTAAGTTTTTACAGCAGGTACCCACCCTCTCCAATGATTAGCACCTTACAAACATTCAAGATCTGCACTATAATCTCAACACAGTCCACTACCATCTTGGGACTTACAAGCCACACTTAATCTTAACGGAGACAGATCAGATGTTCTCTTGATGCGGCGTAACTTGACTACCATCCTGCATACATACTAACACACCACACGTACGTGCATCTGCAGACTTACACACGTATGTGCATCTGCAATGATATCTGTTGTGTCTGTCTCCATTACCTTGAAAAGCCAACATACTACTCATTTAGGATGTTAATATACATCCGAAAGACATTTTAACCTTGTGTCTACTGATCGCACAGAGATGACCAGGAGCCAACTAGGCTATTAGAACCTGATGTGGCCCTAAATGGGTAACCTACTGCGCAGCTGGTTTCTGAGAGACTCTCTCTTTTTTTAAAGATCTGTCGAGCTGCACGGATGCTATTACCGATGTGATGAGTCAAGCGATGGAATGTTTCTTCCCCGTGTCACATTACCCATCAGTTCAACGCTGTATGCATCCGAGCTGAAAAGCTGAAGAAAATGGCGTATTTGTTCTTAGTCAATGCTCGAGACCGCAAATCCTTGTCCGCAAAACCAAAGCATTGTCATGTCACCCATAAGTGGAAAGCTTTTAACGAAGTCACCAAGTCCCGTAAAAAGCATTACGAAAAGCCAGTTTCGACACCATTAAACACAGCTAATAAGAATAAAAGTATTATCCAATCAGATTAAGAAGTGTTAGAGAAGGAAATAGAAAAAAATATTTGGTGCTACCAAATATTTTTTTTTCATTAGACGAAACGTCAAAATTCACCGTTTCTTAACCTACTAAGCTGCACTATTTCAAAAGTACTTATTTGTTTTTATTTTCAGAATATTGTTACATTCTTCCACTATCCCAGCAACAAACATAATAATTGACATCTGTTTTATGGCACAAAATATTTAAATCTAATATGAATTATAATAATTATATAAAATATCTTTCTTATAACAAATTACGTCTCTGAATATAAATCGTTCATTTTTGGAACATATATATAAATATATATATATATATATATATATATATATATATATATAAACACTCACGCCTGTCACCCAGAGGGGTAGGCAGAGACTACGGACTTCCATTTGGCACGATCCTGACATACCTCTTTCGCCTCCTTTACATCCATATATCTACGCATACATGCTCGTCGGTTAAGGGTACTTCTAACGTGGCCCATTTTCAAAATATCGCCAATTTGGTCGATAAACTTTTTCCTAGGGCGTCCCTTCCCGACTCGGCCGTTCACATCTGCCATATAAATTTGCTTTGTCACCCTTTCCTCATTCATTCTTTCTACATGACCAAACCACCGAATCATTCCTTTCTTAATCCTGGTCACAACATCATCTTGCATACCACATTTATCTCTTATCACGCAATTTCTCACCCATTCAGATTCAGATTCAACCCTAGCATACTCCTTAAAGACCGCATTTCTACAGCATTTATTCTACTTTCGTGCTTCTTCTGCCACACCCAGCTTTCACTACCATACATTAAAGTAGGGACTAACACAGCATTATGAATTACCATACGTGCCTGTTTTGACAAATTCTGGTTCTTCATAATAGAGTGTAGTGCCCCATTCACTCTATTCCCTGCATTTACTCGTCGTTCTATATCCCTATCATATCTACCATCCCTGCTAAATACACATCCCAAATACACAAACTCATCCACTTGCTCAATCAACTCTCCTTCTATTCTTATTTCACATACCGTTTTGCTTTCTTCTCTTTCAAAAACCATCACTTTTGTCTTACTTGCGTTCACTTTCATTCCCCTTTCTTTTAATTCCCAGTTCATTAATGTAACCATCATTTGCAACTCTGCCGCCGATGACGCAAGTATGACTTGATCATCGGCATACAAAAGGCATTTGACGGTTAACTCACCCATTCTTAACCCACATTCTTCATCTTTCAAAGTTTGCAAACACCGGTCCATAAATAGGTTGAACAGCCAAGGGGAAGCCACACAGCCCTGTCTGACACCTTTTTGGATGCCAAACCAGTCCGAGTAGACCCCATTGATCCTGACACAAGCACTAGAGTCCCTATAAAGAGACCTTAATGCCTGTATCAAACCAGCGCTCAACCCATATGATTCAGTGTTTGCCATAACACATTCCTGTCCACTCTGTCATAAGCCTTTTCCAAGTCCATGAACGCACAAAAAACTTTCTGGTTTTTGGCCAAAAACTTCTCCGCAATCATGCGCATGGAAAAGACTTGATCTGTACACCCCATTCCCTTTCTAAAACCCGCTTGCACATCCCAAATTTTTCCATCAGTTTCTTTCATAACTCTTTCAATTAACACCTTAGCATACAGTTTACCCACAATACTAAGCAAGCTGATACCGCGGTAGTTTTTGCAGTCCTGCTGTGACCCTTTTCCTTTATATATTGGTACTATAACTGCTTTACACCAGTCATCCGGTACCCGTTTTAATTCCCAACATAAATTAAACAAGGTGTACAGCAGGCCTGCCACCACTCCCTCTCCAGCCCTTAGCATCTCGAGTGATACTCTATCATATCCAGCTGCCTTACCTGCTTTCATGCTTTTCATTGCTTTCATTATTTCATCTACACTTATCTCCATACCCCTTTCCACTTCTTTCGGAATTTCTAGTTCATTTAATTCATACGACTCTTCACTCATAAACACGCTTTCAAAGTATTCCTTCCATCTGTTTAAATTCGAAACTTCATCATTCAGAATACATCCATTCTCGTCTCTTATAGCATTTATTATAGGCTGTTTTGTATTTCCCCTGGCAGTTCTTACGAGTTTCCAGAACATTTTTATGTTAGCCTGGAAATTATCAGATATCCTTCTATCATTCTTATCCGTTCTTTCTTTCTTTTTCCTTTCAACAACTTCTTTTACTCTCTTATTTAGACGTCTAAATTCTGCCTTTTTTCTTTCAATCTCATCATTCATACCAGAACAGTTATCAGCTTTGGTTGCTAGTAAATCTAACCATGCTTTCTTCTTTGATTCAACTTCCACCCGTACCTCATCATCCCACCATAACGTATTACTTTTCCTTTCATTTGTTCTCTTACTTACACCGCATACTTCGGTGGCGGTATTCACCAAACCTTTCTTAATATTATCCCACACAGTATTCAAGTCTAAATCATTCATACACAACTCATTCAAACATCTAATATTTTCTCTCAGTCTACATTTATACTTCTCTATCACATCTTCATCTTGTAACTTCTCTATTCTTATACGCTGTAACACAGTGGTAGATACAGATGTCCGATGCCGCCAACGCTTGAAAAGACCATTAATTCGACATAAGACCAAGTAATGATCCGTCCCTACGTTAGACCCCCGGTAAACCCTTGTATCTACGACTGCGCTCCTCATTCTTTCATCCACAATTACGAAATCTATCATGCTTCTATCATCACCTCTTTCCCATGTATACATGTGAATCTTCTTATGACGAAAAAAAGTATTCGTCACAAAAATATTCTTTTCCGCACATACGGTGAGGAGGTCTTCACCATTCTCATTTATACTTTCATCACCAAACGTTCCCAATATCCTTTCATAACCAGACCTCTTCACCCCAACCCTTCCATTAAAGTCTCCTAACATAATAATATTTTCATTTTCCTTACATTTTGTCAACACCATCCTTACCATGTCCCAAAACTGCTCTCGGATGTAAGTGGGCTTAGACATGTCTGGGGCGTACACCCCTAGCAGGAACAGCTTCTTTAAGCCCACTTTCATTCGTATCCATAGCAGTCTCGGGCTTACACATTCATACTCTTTCACACATTGACCCATTCTTTCTGAAAGGATGAAACCGACTCCCTGGCATGCCCGTTCGGTCTCGTCTACACCAGACCAATACGCGGTATACGTGCCATGTGCAGTGGCATCCTTTCCCTTTCGTTTCGTCTCATTCACACATAACAAATCTATTCCTCCGTCATCCATCATTTCGCATACTTCATCCATCTTATCATTCATTCCTCCACATACATTCAGCGTAGCCAGACGGGTTTCCGCAATCCACTTTTCGCCCCTCCGGGAGACAGAACGTGACGGGTGGCGAACCTCGTCGCCGGTTTTTCTCCCGGAGATTCTTCGCACCCCTGCCCCATTTAAAGGGCGCCGGGAACTCGGGGCCATTTCTTTTATTTCTTGAGTCATGGTGCGAACAAGGGTTGGTGGTAGATTTTACGCCGCTACCATACGGCGAGGAGCCGAGTCAATTTATCGGCTTTGTCGCTCGTTTAGCACCACCCGGGGGACACGTGTAGGGTGGGCCTAAGGTTAGGTGGTCGAAGCCTACGGACGCGAGCATATTTAGTTTTGGAACATATTTAGTTTTAAATATAACGGGGTATCTTTTTCTTTTATAACAAGAAGAAAAGTTATTACAACCCTTTCATTAAGTAACGGTAACATGTTAAATAAATAAAAAATTACGTACTCGCTGGTGCCTGGTATAGTCCAGAAACATTTCCAGGCATAATATTGCTGTTGGTTACTGTTCTTAAAGTCATCTGCGGACCGGGTGCCGGAACGTATTGCATTGGAAACATGCCTGTAAAAATAATTATAGTCAACCAAATCTAAGAAACACCTTTTGACGTTTCACATTAATCATTCCGCAATAACTTTCTACAAGCGTACTCACACGATTTGAAATAACTTTTTGCGCAAATCTGAAGAATTATGAAGTTATCTATATTTCATTACAACGTGTATAGGTTTTTATTACTAATTTAAATTTGAATCTTTCAAACAAAGCAAAATATTAAAAAATAACCAGTACCATTTTTTTTACTTGACGTCGTTTCAATGATATTTCGCTATGTACATTACCGTGTTTGAATGATTAAAATTCATTGTTATGCGAATAATAGGCAAAAATATTCAAATAATCGGTAAACTATTTAAATAATCGAATCATTAATTTTTTAATGTATTATTTGTTTAATTTAATTTTTTCTTTTAAAAGTCCTTAAATTACATAAATCATGAAGAAAACAAGTTTTTTTTAATTTGTCAACGTAAATTTGTGTAGGCAAAAAAACTCATAATATATAGGACCGCGCTGAAAAAACTACTATGTACTTTCAATATCCCGCTATTACGCAAGCTTACTGTGCGTCATTTTGTGATTTTGTGTTTGTCTTCTTATTTTGTGACTCGGCTTTAACTTTTTGGACTGTTTCTTCTGTGTGTATTCAGAATTTTTTTGCAGAAGAGGGTCATTAGAGCTATTTACAACCTTAAACCGAGAGTCTCTTAGAGAAAAATTTAAAGATATAAATATATTAACTTTGGCCTCTCAGTATATCTACGAAAATTTGATGTATGTTCACAAAAATAAAGGTAGTTTTAGTAAAAAAAAGTAACATACACTCTGTTAACACTAGGAACTAGCACAAGCTGGTGCTACCAGTTTCTCGACTCCACAGATTCAGTAATTCATTCTTGGGGCAATGTATACGCTATTACAACAAAGTCCCAGAATATATACAAGGTCTCTCTATTACCAAGTTTAAATATTTAATTAAACAAAAACTGTATAAAAAGGGTTATTATTTATTATTTAGTTAGTGTTTATGGTCCGATCTATACAAAATGAACGACTATGTCTTGAGGTCTTGCAGTGGTATGCTTGGGTTTAGTTTTAATGTTATCGATTATAGGGTCCCAAGCAGGTGGTAGTACCCAGCTTCCTTCTCTATTGAAATTAGGATGTTTTTTTTTAATTTCAATAGCCTCACGTATCATCTTTGGTAGGAACCGGTGTTCTTTCACGAGGATTTGTGGTCTATCAAATCTGATGTAATGGTTGGCGCCGTCTAGGATAATATGATCACAAACTGCAGACTTCCCGGAACGTTGAACGAACGGGAACACCGGTTCCTACCAAGGATGATACGTGAGGCTATTAAAATTAAAAAACATCCTAATTTCAATAGAGAAAGAGGCTAGGTACTACCACCTGCTTGGGACCCTATAATCAATAAAATTAAAACTAAACCCAAGCATACCACTGCAAGACCTCAGGACATAGTTCGTTTTGCATAGATCGGACCATAAACAATAATAAAAAAAGCTGAGGGTACTCCGGATTTAACAAAGACATCGGTACGTCAGTCACCTCAGTCCCCCGTGACCATGGGTGCTGGAAAGCACCCGAAACGTCGGGAACTAAAAATAAAAATAATTAAAATTAAACGCGATAAAATCCGTAAAAGTAGTTTTAATCAATGTGTAGTGTTCTCGTAAATATAAGAAATCATTAAGAGACATTAATTTTGAATGCATTATTGAAAATCAAATAATAATAAATCTAAACAACGACAGCTAAATTAGTTGTACTGAAAGTGATTGAATAAATTTTTCTAATCCGGTTTTAATCTTAAATTTTTATAACTGTGCCTCTAGAAATAAGCAGTAACAACAAATACGTAGAAACTGATAAATCTTGGGTTTTAAATTACCTGTTTTAAATTTATTTTGGTATTATTCAAACCAAACTGTAAATGATTGCCAACTCTAGATAATCGATATCGATTTTTTTAAGAATCGAATATTGTACGTTCCCATTTTTTGGTTGGCATGCCTGTTGCAATAAGTCTGACAGCTGTCAAAATTCATACACATTCGATTTGATGCGCGTCTATACATACCTGGTACCTTCCGTATATATTACTATACTCTTTGCCTGTTACTCGTTGCTCAGTAAACTTATTCTTAAAACAGTGGTAAAAAGTGATCGTTCAGTGATATAAAAAACATTCTTAATAAGTTTAGAAGAAAATCTACATTTTGGCCAAAGGGGACAATCATTTTTGGGCCCACTAAAAATATTAACGTCACTTAATGGTATTACATCAAAAAAAAGACACCAAATTATAATAGTAAATGGCCTACAGATTTTTCAAAAATGTAAACGAAATCAAGAAATATGAAAAAAAAATTAGTTGTTTTGATATTCGTGTTCTGATTAGTGTAATATGGGTAAAATGCGTGTACCTAATTAGTCATTTTGCAGTTTGTATAAAAAGAAAACTATTTTTTCACAAAGCTGACTTAAAAAAAGATACCACTAAGAACTTTATGTTTAATTTCTAAAAATTTTAGCTAATATCACGTTATAACATAGTTCTAAATGACTGTGAACCAAAACGTTATTTTATCATTGACTTCCGGTAATTCCCAGCGGCCGGCGGCCGGGTACGGCGGGGCGGGGCGGCGGGGTATTACCTACGTCTTTAATCTTAACGGCATTGACGTTCGTCACGCTACTGTTTTTTTTATATGCGATTTTAAGAAAATGGAATCTGCTAGATCAGCATACAATGAAAATAGAAGTGTATGTTGCAATTGTGGAGTCAGGTTTCAACGCAGTGTGCGAAGACAATTACTGGCCGAGACAACTGCTGATGTGCGCCAACTTTTATCTGTGTGGATTTCTCATGAGGTAGGTATAATATTATCTCATGGAAAGCTAATGACTGCACTATACAATCTATCTACTTACATATTATCTAGATTTAAACTTTATGAGAAATATATATTATTTTTGTTATTCTCGATTTTATTCCAACAATATTACTATACTGCGGAAACGAAAATTACATATTTTCTTTATTAATGTATTACTTAATATTTTTATTTTTGTTGAATAATATGGGATATGGTACGATTTTTTAGAAATAATACGAAAGAAAACGATCCACAGACTCCAGGCACACATAACGATCTATACATGATTAAGTACTTAATTATTTTAAGTTTTTAAAAGTAATAATAAATATCCCTTCATATTATTAATAAATTCATACCTTCTATAGCTATAATTTTAATCTTTCGTTATATTAAATTGATAAATGATATATTATATTGATTGAATTATTTTACATTTTGACACAAGATGACACTGCATTCTTTCCTGCTATTTACCAACTTACAGGCATAGTTCTTTGCATTGACTCCATTGACTGGCATTGACTGTAAGAAAAAAGTCTGTTGTTTCAAACTATTTGGTAGAAAAAATATAATATGGTATAAACTTGTTTGTTTAAATTGATGTAAACTGTGTTCGTGTTAAAGTAAAAGTTTAAAAATGAAAATTCACGTAGTTTTACTGCTTACAAGTGGATTAGTATGTTAATGTCTAATTGATGCAAAAAATGTTTAACCTAAGGGTTATATCATGCACGTAAGTCAAATATTAAATACCTATATCACATTAATTTATGTATATAATTTGCCAATGACATTCGAAAATGCAAACTGACGAGTAAAAGTCCATGTGAGTAATATAAAAGTTTATTTTTTCCTCCTAGTATTTTGTAAAATCTATAACTTATACTGAATTAACCTTTAACAAATGATAAACACAGGTCTTACTAATGTGTTAAATGTTAAAGTATTGAAGTTTTATGTTATTAGTGAAATCTAATTTAAATAATAGATAAAATAAAGTCACACAATATACACAAAAGAAGTTTTTGTGGCATGGTATGATGTATCACATGTTATGTGTGTCTAATTATCTTTTGTCAGTCAATCAGAAATCAAAGTCGAAAAAGTATAGGTATATATGTGTCAATATTTATTCACGATAAAATATTATGTAAATAGAAAAGTAAGTTATTTTGTGCAATGAAAAATATTTCAATCCACTGTAATATTACCGTTACAGCCAATTAAACTCCACTGCCGAACATGGCCTCCCCCATATATTACTAATATTACACGACTCCATAATACTCTAATATTATAAAGTTTATTTATCACTATATGATATACCTGAAATACTGTAAATATTGTAAAATCATAATATATTAATCGATATTTGTCTTTTGGATTTCCAATTTTTTTTAATTGAAAATGTATTGTATTTCAAATAATATAGGGTTCCACATCAAACATTCACTTTCATGCCAACTTCGCTTCCCTCCTCAAAATGTACATTTATCTGAACTTAATATTTATTTACTCTTTTATTTTTAATTCCTGATTTTTTCAGTTACACCCACTTGATGCAGTTTGTTGTAACTGCCTAAGAATATTGCAAGAAAGTGTTGCATCTGCTCACTCCATTAGAAGATTTGGGTACAGGAATATTTGTATTCCATGTGGATCTTCAATTTTAAGAGCACACCGTAGACGGATTGTGCCTATTAACTCTGAAGAAAGAGATACTATTTTGCAGTGGATACCATCACACCAGGTACTTACTTTATTTTAAAAGGCTGTAAATGGTCCCCTGCCTCAAATAGGCAGCCTAGAAGATTTGCCACAATCGCTTTAGTACACAGATTGATGTTTGTAAAATCAGACACCTTGCATACAATTTGGTCTGATATTTATGCTCATTCAACATGGCTGTTCACTAACAGGTTATCTTTAAATTTACAGTCTACCAAAAGTCTACTGCTGAACATAGAACTCCCCATAGATTGTCTTATGGGGGGATATTTGCCATTAATAACCATTTTTTTATTTTTAGTTATTAGATGAACGATACTTCTTCTTTATCTTACACCCATATTTGTATGCTTTTGTACTTATTATACAAGTAATATTTTTTACCTTAAAAGACATTAGTATAAATAAAACGGGTTGGGTTTACAATTCGGTCGCCTCAATTTGAAGATTCTGTTACTGTGGGGGGCGTCAAGGGAGTTTATCTGAAGCACCTACACGCGAGTTTTGCTACCGGAGCAGCATCGAAGTATTTTTATTTATTTTTTGAAAATATTGGTAAACAACTAATTAATTAAATATTCTCACGTTTTTGACGTTTCATCTGTCAATGTCATATCGATATATAGTACTAAATCGATCTAGTGAATCGATATTTCACCCTAGAGAATCAAGATCAAATCTTTTCTGTTTTGTTAAGATTTACAAAATTATTTATAATTAGTTGAAAGTACCCCAACTCGTAAAGAATGACAGTTTTTCAATTTAATCATTCAATGTTATCTGAAACTTTAAAGAACTTGGGCTTAGTGAAATATTGTTAATAATTCTAAAATAATTACTTCTTGTCTGATATGTGATGTATTATTTATTTCTATTTAAATAAGTAGTGCCACAAAAATATTATGAGGGGAAACTATATAATTTTAAAAGACATTAAAACTATTTAGTGTTAGAAAGATTGAAATAAATAGAACAATAATAAATATTATTAATATTTAGAGTAGACACTGTAAAACTATAATTCATTTTGTTAGTTGATAAAAAATAACTTTTTTCAGGTGGATCGTTTAGAACGAGTATGCAGTCCTTGCTGGCTGAGAGCTTCCAGAGCTGTATGGAGACAGAGACAACAAAATGAGAACAGGGATATTAAGTTACAATCCATGAATATAGAAGACATCGGTAACATCCCACAACCACCCCCTATACCTGCACCTGTAACCCCTGCCATTTCCAGAGCGGTATCAACAATTACTGTGGCTAATTATAAGCGTGCTGCTTCTACTTCCCGTCACTGTATTTTTAAGTCATGTAATCATTCATCTAGATTTTTAATACCTAAACTACTTAAAGAGAGATAGATCACTCATTTTATGTGCCACTGTGCGCTCGTATTTGTGAATACCATTTAAATGAACCCCACAATGATAGGAATAATTTATACACGAGTAGTAACTGTTCAGATTTTACTGCATCTCAGATAGACAACCTTTGTTCCTTACTTAAAAGTAGTGTTACTCAAAATTATAATATTTTAAATATCATTGAACATAATTCAATATTATGCAAATATTGGTTAGGATTTACCAACTACCAATTTGAACAGTTACTAGTTGAAATTCCATCTATCAGTGAAAGAGTTAAATCACCTAAAAGAAGTCTAGCTATGTTCTTAGTGAAACTTCGTACAGGTGATAGCAATGAACGCATAGCTTCTCTATTTAATGTAGCTTCATCGACTGTGTTCAATCACTTAAATATTGTAAGTCAGTGCTTTGAAGAGCAATTCATCCAACTGCATTTAGGGACAAATACCTTATGCATTCAACAAGTTGCTCAATATAACTTGACAATACCAAATGGCTTGTTTAGTAATCCAGATATGGATCCTGAATTTATGCCAGCCATAGTAATATGTGATGGTACATACATTTATGTGCAAAAAAGTAGTAATTACTTATACCAGAAGCAAACATATAGTTTACATAAGTATCGTAACTTAGTTAAGCCATTTTTAATAGTGTGCTGTAATGGTTATATCCTTGATGTTTTTGGACCATATCCTGCAACAGAATCAGATGCTTCTATAATTCTTAGACTGTTCAATGATAATAGTCCACTGCGAACCTATTTTAGAGAAAACGATGTATTTATTCTTGATAGAGGTTTTAGGGATGCAATTCCATTCTTGCAGCAATGTGGTTATAAGGCTTACATGCCTGAATCTAAACAAGCTGGTGAAATACAATTATCAACCATTGCTGCCAACAAGTCCAGATGTGTAACTTTGTGCAGGTGGGTGATTGAAATTGTAAATGGGAGATTTAAACGGGACTTCAAATTATTTCGTCAGGAATATTTTAATACTGCATCTACTCATCTCATGCTATACTTTAAAATTGCAGCTGCATTAATAAATCGATTTCATACGTTGATTCGTAATAATTTTCATGCTGTAGAGATATTGGCAATTGCTCAAGCCAAACTAAACACTCCAAATAATTTAGCCTCCTACGTAAAAATGCACAATTTAAATAGAGTGAGAGTGCGATTTGCCAGCATTAATGGTAATCTTCCAGAGCTGGATAATTTTCCTCAACTGACATTCCAGGATCTCATTCTGTTTAGTTTAGGAATTTATCAAATTAAACAAGCTCGTAGTTATTACGGGGGAGCATGTCAGGGCTTCTGGAGAATATAAAATCGAGGTATACCTGCAATCTGTCCATGATTTTGGTCCAAATAGTTATCTATTGCGAGGTAGGATACAATCAAGGCACACTAGTAAAAAAACTTATTACACTTATATACTAGTTGACACCAACCAATCAATTGCTAACACTAGGGCTGCTCTTACTGGGTACTGTTGCAACTGTTTGGTAGGCAGACGCACTGTTGGCTGCTGTGCACATGTCATGTCTGTTGTCTGGTTTCTATCTTGGGCACGGCATCGAGATGAGGTTGAACCACCTGCATCTTTTTTAGATGATATATTACTTTCAAGTAACGATATTGAAAATGATGAATGATGATTATTAATGTTAATGCGTATTAATATTGTAATATAAATGATCATTTTTGCTATAGTTGCTTCACTTGTGGCAACCAAAGTTTTTTGTGGTATTCTATAGGAAGATGCTGCTCCTCATCTCCTGGTATTTTTATTTTATTCTGTCGACTTTAACGACACCATACGGGACGGAACGTGATGGCAATTCACGGAAGGCCTCTGTAATATTTTACATTATATCTTTAATTTAGGAGCCATATGTTCGGCAGTGGACTGTTGTAATGATGATGAATAATGATGACTAAAAATTGTAATTTTTGTTGCTTATTTGAACTATTTCTATTTTACTGTGTGCTTTATTATCTGTTATATATTATGTTATATGTGTAATTTATAAATAAACGCCGAGCAAAGTTGAATTTATTGCTCTGGCACCCTTTTTTATCTCTTTTAATTGACAATATCCTTCTGATTTCTAATAATATCGTAAACGGGCGAGACATTATATTTTAATGATGTATGGGATTTATACTTGTTAATAGATGAATACTTTAATGAACAAAGGGCCGGCACTGCACCTGTCTGCTGTGTTATTTTTAAAAGAGGACTCATAAAACACTGACGATTTTAACCATAATTAATGCAGTGATTATAGATGATCTTTGGGACTTATTACATATCAATATCGTATCATAAATAGAAATGTTACCATCAAGTTATTTTGAAAAAATCTTTTAATATGATCTTTTGATATGAAAACACGAAAAATGTTTCTACCTATGTCCGTTAGAAACCATCCAAGAGATTTTGATGATATGTTTATGTGTGTTTGAATGGGTCTCTATATGATTCATATTCACATATGGACTCGGTAGGTGGCGCTGTTGTCGAAATCCAGAAATCACCTGTGCGAAGTCGGGGCGGATCGCTAATAATAAATACAATTAAACTATACCTGTGTGTTTGTTATCCTGGCACAAACAGTTCAAAACATCTTACTTCCTCACAATTTATCAGTGTGTAATAACAGATAAGCATGATATTACCTAGTCATTTTGGTATTTTAGAACCCAGTCATTTAGATGTATAATTAGGTATTTAATAATCAACCAAAGCATATTAAAAAAAGTCTTGACACCGGGCCTGTCTGTCTGTCTGCATAAATAGATCTGAATTATATGTCTGAATTATATAGACTATGTTGGAAATGATGATTTACTATCTATAAATACGGTTGCATTATAACTTGTTTTTTACACAGTCAGTTTAAAACATCTTTCTTACTATATAACGTGTGTTGGTAATATTGTAAATATAAATGGATATATTATACCTTAGTCATCTTGAATTTAATCATATTATTTTGACGGTAATTGGGAAGTACACTCACAATCAATATATGTAAAAAATTGTATCCATACCACATTTGTACACAGACAGGCACTATATTTTGCCGTAACTACTAAAAATATTGAAGTACCTGAAAATGCTGAATGTACCTACAACTTGGTTTTATATGAACTATTATTCAACAGTGCACTATTTTAACTTAAAATACCGGTAAAAACCACTATAAATAGCTTTTAGTTTATTTCTAGGTTATTTTAAAATTCATATTTTAATTGTTAATTTCTCGATTTTCCGTCTAGATGTGGTAAAACTAATATTACTTTTGTAAACTATAGATTATAAGGAATAAATCGACATCCATTTCATTGCGTGACGCGAAAATTTGTGGTGGGCCCATTCTCCATACAAAAATTGATTGTCTCCTTTGTTTTCAAAAACTCGAGTGGAATAAAGAGATATCAGTGTTTATAATTTAAAATAATTCGTTAACGTATAGTTGAGTGAAGCGAGCTCGCCAACGTACATGAGTCATCGTTGCTCTGCAGTGCCGCATTCAAACGTGCAAGTGAACTTGCCTCGTGCTACGTTTAATAACAAGTATAGTACAACTTATACCAAATAAAAATATTATGTCGCAAACTAAATCTAAGTTTGGGTGTTGTGACCGACTGGGACCTGCACCGCACAGCTTAGTATGTAAATTATGCAAGTACAAATATCACTTGAGCTGCGTAAATATACAAAAATCATTCAAGGAGTTAACGGAAGAATATAAGTCAAATTGGCTGTGTCCATGCTGTCATAGTAAGATCCCCAAAATTGATAATACTAACACCCCAATTAGAGCGGTTCACCGGCAAACGACACTTAGTGAACAAGAAAAATTATCGCAAAACGTAAACACCAAGAGAGGAGGGCGAATAGAAAAAATATCTTCGTTGGAATCAGAATCGACAATATCTATACGTAGCATAGTGAGGGAAGAGTTAGAAAATATACTAGATAATTTTAAAATTAATATTTTAAATCAGTTTGATCGCAAGTTAAAGGAGTTAGTAGATAGTTTTAAACGAGTGTCTGATTCCTTGTCTGCAATTGAGAAACAGCAAGAAATTACTAAACAAGAAGTGCAATCTAACACCTCACAAATAAAGCTCTTAGAGTCTGAGAACGCATCCTTACGATCTTCGATTGCAGAACTCAATTCCAGACTCACGCTAACAGAACAGCATTCTCGAGCTACTAATTTATTAATACAAAACATTCCAGAGCATAAATCTGAGAATTTAATAACGATTGCTAAACAAATTGCTGCCACCGTGAACTACAAATTAAATGAGTCCGACATTCACGTATGCACAAGAGTCACCAAAGTAAATAGAGATAGTCCACGCCCGCGGTCAGTTATTGTGAAATTTAGCTCGCCCAGAATCAGGGATGAATTTCTAGCAGCTTCGTTAAGATTCAATAAAAGAGCTAATAGTGTTTCTGAAAAGTTAAACTCATCTCATCTTGGACTTGGTGGTCAATACACGCAGCTGCACGTCTCAAGAGTAAGGAATTAGGATTCAAATTCGTCTGGGTAAAGGGAGGAAGAATTTTTATGCGTAAGACTGAAACATCCGATTATAAATTAATTAAGAGCATCCAGGAATTATCTCAACTACAATAATTTATTATCTTCGTTTTTAATATTTTTTAGTTAAATATATTTTTTTTTCTCTTTAGTTAATTTTGTATGTTAACAGATCACTTAAAAATCTATCAAAATGTAAGAGGGTTAAATACGAATTTGATAGAGGTACGTCAACAAATACTTAATAACGATTATGATATCTACATATTTACAGAAACATGGCTTAGTAGTGGATGCTTCGATTCCGAAAATTTTGTAAACGGCTATGCTGTGTATAGGCAGGATCGCGAGATGTGTTCGATTTCAAATGCAGGAAGAGGAGGGGGTGTACTGATAGCCGTATCGAAACAGCTAATATCAAAGCGAATCACTGAATGGGAAAGTGATTGCGAAGATCTATGGGTAGTAATTACAGTGCCAGACCTTTCGGGTAAAAATACGATCTCGATAAGATTGGGTGCCGTATATCTACCACCTCCAGTAACAGATAACACTATGAATATTTTTACTGAGAAGGTAAGTTTTATCCTAGAATAGGGTGATGAATTCAAATACACATTAATTGCAGGGGACTTTAATATGTATGAGCGGCATATCTTGGGAACCTTACGCCAGCAAAGACCAGGACAACTGTCTTGTGCCATCTGGGTATGGAAGCCGTGAAATCTTATGCAAATTTATAGATTTTATAACACTAAACGATATGAAACAATACAATTGTGTGACAAACATTCAAAATAAATTACTTGATTTAATTCTTTGCAATGAAGAAATATTAAATATTTCTGAATGCTTACACCCGGTAAGAAACATAGATAAATATCATCCAGCTCTTGACATCACAATGAAAATGGTTAAAATAAATAAAAAAAATTTTGCTCCCCTCTAGACCTAATTTTTATAAAGGTGATTACGAGTCTATTAGAAAATACCTTAACTCGATTTCATGGGAAGATGAATTAAATTCCTGTAACGATGTTAATAACATGATTACAAAATTTTACGCTATTTTACACAATGCAATTAGATTACATATTCCAATGACTAAAATAAAAAACAATTCATACCCTATTTGGTTTTCTTCCCATTTACTATACTTACTAAACAAAAAGGATATTTATCATAAAAAATTTAAAAAATATAAAAAAACGCTAGCTGAGATGGAGTTTATTTACTTAAGAGATGATTGTAACAAACTTATTAAGAAGTGCTACAATAATTATATTATTAGAATTGAGACCGAACTAGTAAAAAATTCTAAGACATTTTGGACTTACATAAAAAGCCTTCGAAGAAACTGCACATCATTTCCAGATACTATGATTTTAAATAATACTGAGTCATCAGAAGTTGAAAATATTTCTAATATGTTGGCTACACATTTTTCATCAGTGTTTGAGAAAGATATAAATAATAGTAATAGTTATGTCTGTAACCTGCCAGCTGGTATTGAAATATTCGACACAATTAACATCATCCAATTTACTCAAGAGGAAGTAAAGAAAAATTTAGATATTTATAAAAGTGTAGGGCCGGACGATATACATCCGTTGCTTCTAAAGAACTGTGCTGATATTTTAGCTGTACCAATTGCCACTTTATTTAACCATTCACTTCATTCAGGCAAATTTCCTGATAAATGGAAAGAAGCTAGGGTTATACCGTTACATAAAGCTGGCAAAAAAGACTTAATTACGAATTATCGACCAATATCCATTTTATCAGTATTGTCTAAGCTATTGGAGTCCTTGGTGCACACTGTTTTGTACAGACATCTACAGAAATATATTACTGTGGATCAACATGGGTTTATGGCTAAAAGATCAACTAACACAAACTTAGGCCTATTCATATCGGAACTTAAACAGGCAGTCGACCATAATACTCAAGTAGATGTTATTTATACCGACTTCTCAAAGGCCTTTGACAAAGTCAACCATGCCATACTTATTAAAAAATTAGAAGCCTTTGGAATCTCCGGCAAACTGCTGCAGTGGTGTCGATCTTACCTTAATAGCCGCATTTCAAGAGTGGCAGTTTTAGGCAACTTTTCTAATGTATTTACTGAAACATCTGGCATTCCTCAGGGATCTACGCTCGGTCCCTTGTTCTTCAACGTTTTTATCAACGATATAACACATAAAATAAGACATAGTAAAATCTATCTTTTCGCTGATGACCTCAAACTTCTGAAATTAATTACTAATACCAATGATATAAGATGCCTTCAAGATGATATAGATAGTGTTTATGATTGGTGCAAGGAAAACAAAATGTATCTTAATGTCTCTAAATGTCAGCACACACCGTTTACTAGAAAACGTCATAAATTGGAAACTAGTTATTCCTATATATATTTAATAATTATATACTTAAAACTGTTACTCCTTTTCGCGATCTTGGCGTTTTAATGGATAGTGAGCTAAGATTTTCAGACCACATAGATAAAATTATTACCGAAGCAAACAAAGCGTTAGGCTTGATCTTAAGATGTACCAAAAATTTTATGAAACTAGACGCTGTAATTCATCTCTACAATACATATGTAAGGAGTAAGTTGGAATATTGCAGCACTGTGTGGTGTCCCAATTATAAAATACATGTTGATAGAATTGAGAGAATTCAGAAACGATTTGTTCGTACTCTTGCATATCGATACAGAGCACCTATAACTACCAAAACATATGAGGAGAAATTAAAGCACTTCAATCTCATAAAACTTACATAACGTCGAGCTCATTTAGATTTAAATTTTTTACACAAAATAGTTAATGGATCTATCGATTGTCCGCCTTTGCTTAATAGACTAACATACAATGTCCCCGCCAGAATCCCGAGATATCCATGCAAATTGTTTAAGCCCAGCTATCCAGAACTAATTTGGGTCGTTTTTCACCGTTGGTCCGCGCTACCCGCTTTGTACAATGAGAATTACGAGCTTGAGGTTCGTGACAATAAAAATTGCCGATATAATTACCTAAATTAACACTTTAATTTTCTTTACACAAATTAAAGTTTAAAACACCAATAATTAAGCACACTAATTCACTTTATTCCGCTCCGAAGCTTCGCTTGTCTCGCCGAATTCAATACTTCACCGATCGCATCTTGCAGCGCCTATAAATATAAATTAGCACCGAAATATCCAGAATATTCAAGTAAACACGAGCAAGGTACCGACAGTTCGAGTTTCAACTTCTAGAAGTTTAGTTATTCGGTTCGAGACTAGATGGCGCTGTCGGTTGAAAGATTAGTGATGTCATTTTCTGGAAAGCTCCACTTGCTCCCGTCTCTGACACTAGATGGCGCTAGTGCTGTCGACTTAGGCGCGTAACACTGCCCCCTCCTAAGACATGCTCGTCCCGAGCATTATCGGCCCCATAATAACGCGCCAGGCGATCCACATGGACGATTTTAGGTGTCCCTCTTGCGCCTTTCTGTATCCGGTAGGTTACATCGTTGACCCTGGTCACAATCCGGTACGGGCCGCCCCATTTAGCTTGAAGCTTAGGAGATTTCCCTTTGCTGCGGACTGGATTGTGCAACCACACTAGTGAACCTTCGTCGAATCATTTATTGTTCATTTTGCGGTCGTACCGGGTTTCCTTTCTCTGACATTTGTTGGCCCGATTGTCTGACGTGCTCATAAATTTCATTCATTTTGTTCCGCAAGTCATTTGCATAATCGGTTATACTGCGTGGGGTATCAGGTGGTATCCCAGTGATCAGGTCTGCAGGCAGCCGTAATTCTCTTCCAAAGTTTGCGAAAGCTGGTGTCACTGCTGTACTTTCGTGAACAGAACTTCGATATGACAATAAAAACGGTTGTATGTACTTGTCCCAATCTCGTTGCCGATTGTCTACAACTCTTGCTAGGTACCTCCCCAATGTCTGATTAAATCGTTGTACCATTCCATCAGATTGCGGGTGATAAGAAGTCGTTCTTTTTTTATGAGTACCCATAACTCGGCAAGTTTCCTGTAATATTTGAGACTCAAAATTCCTTCCTTGATCGCTGTGAATCTCCAAAGGTACTCTAAAACGTCAGAAGACTTCATGAACTAGTTTATCTGCAACTGTTGAAGCTTCTTGATTTGGAATGGCGAAGACTTCTGGCTACTTAGTGAAGTAATCCATCACAACCATGAAATACTTGTTACCGCTTTCACTCTCCGGAAACGGCCCCGCCACGTCAATGGCTATTCTCTCCCATGGTGCACCAACATTGTACAACTTCAATGCACCTCTACTACGAGTCTGAGGTCCCTTGACAGCCGCACAACTTGTACATTTGCGACACCAGTCCTCGAAATCGTTTCGACAGTGGACCCAATAAAACCGTTTTCGGAACTTCAGTAGAGTTCGTTTAACTCCCAGATGGCCTCCGGAACAATCATTATGGTACAGCTGTAGAACATCCGGTACTTTAGCTTTAGGGACAACCATTTGCAAGTGACAGCTGTCTCCCCGAACATTTTCCCATTTACGGCACAGAACTCCATCCTGAAGCAGCAAGCTGTCCCATTGGGCCCAATAGCTTTTAGTGGTCGAACTCATCGCTGAGACGTCGCTCCACTTGGGCTTGGGAGCACTGGCCTTCATCCATTCCAGTATCGGCTTGATGTCCGGATCTTTCTGCTGTGCATGTTGTAAGCTGTCCTTCCACTCGTTGCTGAGGTGGTCTGTCCTGAGCATCCTCACGGATACCACTTCCTTACTCTCCTGCCTAGTACAATGTTTGCAATCTTCAGGACAAGGTCTTAGTGACAATGCATCTGCGTTGCCATGAGATTTCCCGCTGCGATGTTTGATCTCAAAGTCGTATTCCTGCAGTAGTTCAATCCACCTCGCAACTTGTCCTTCTGGATTTTTAAACTGCAATAGCCATTTTAGTGCAGCATGGTCAGTTCTTAAGCGAAATTTTCGTCC